AGGCCTCGTCAAGGTGAACATTAAACACTAAAGCACTACGACATTTTATTAAATGAAGGAGGTTCAAAAGGGATGAGAGAAGGTAGTAGACCCTTGGGCTGCCATTGAATCCCACCAAGAGAGGGGAAAGAGATGAGAAATTTTGATTTTTCATTTTATAACCCCCTATTTATAGAAAAACCCTAAAAGTGCCCCGAATGGGTCCCGCTCGGTCCGAAAAAGTGGAATTTGAGCAGACATGCTCAAACGGAAAAACTCTGTCAACAAAAAAAAACCAAAATGAAAGAAGTCCCGAGTAGAGAGATATGCCCCAAACAATTTTGACGCTAACCAAGGCCGAAAAACCAAAAACTGTAGGGTTCGACAGCAAGACAATTCTAAGAGTACACGACTTGACGAAATGTGAAAATCCCGTACCAGGATTCAAGCCCCAAAGAGACACTTAGCAATTAACTTTCATTAATTGCACAAAGGCTCTTACACAAAAGGATAACTGCATATGTAACCCCAAATGAATATATTTTTCAAAAAATATTTTCTTAAAAAACCCTAAACTAAAATATCTTGAAAAGATATTTATGAAAAACACCCCAAGAAACAAGAATGTTTCTAAAGAGTCTTTTCATCCACGCCCCTACGGGAAAAAGAAACGACTTGCGAGCTTTTCTCCAAAAGTAAAGATACACCTTTCAAGAAAACCAACAAGAATGAAAGTAGGTGCAGTCAAAAATCAACTCCGAGCATGAAGAGTGAGGTTAAGCAAAAGGAAATTTCAACGAAAAAAAAAATTATCAATAAAAATGGAGAAAAAGGAAAAGAAGGAAAATGACCGAGTCCCCCACGCGCTGCCACACACACCCAAACCAACCCACGCACTTCTATTGATTGGCAGGGGCGTACACGTTCCCTCACGTGCCTGATGTGTCCCTCTACTGTGCTGGCTTCTCCTCATTGGTTGGTACTCCGTGATATGGTGAGCCACACCGTACCAGACTACTCCTTTCATTGACCAGACCGCGTCAACAGTCCAGATGCCATGCCGCACCACACTAGATTACCCCACCATTCATCAACTCCACCCACGGCCTAGATCAGCGTGCGCACCGTTCTCCTATACACACGTCTGCACTAAATCATTCCATTGTCCAGCAAGATCATCATATGGTCATAATTTGGGGGACACCGTAGCACTGTGCACATCGCCGCACCGAATCCCTGCCCTTTAGTTGATGCGCCGATTATATACCCACCCCAGTATATATAAACAATATATATATAACAGAATAATATTAAAAAAAATTCTAAAATAATTCGAGAATATATAAAATAATTCCAGAAAATTTTCAAAAAAACCAAGAAAAATTCCAAAAGCTTTATTTATTGTTTTGGGCATAAATGAACATGTATAATTATATTAAGATCTATTTAATTTAATTAATCATGAAATTTAATTAACATAACTACTCATACAAAATTAAATTATTATAACAATACGTACATATCTTCACATGTTTAAATCTATAATTTTGCAAAGAATAAACATGCTTATATAATCCGATTAATAAATTATTTTTAATCAACGAAACAAAAATATAATTTTGATAATCAAGGTGAAAGGCTTATGAGTTTTAAGAGGAGAAGTAGAGAAAAACTCGAATGTCTCTTCCATATCTGACGTCCTATTTCTCTGATCCGGCCTCCTCTTTGTCAGCTCTTCTTTTTCTTTTTTCTGTGCCTCTCTTATTTTTCTAACGTAAAAACTTTCAACTCTAAAGTCTTATGCATATATTTATACATATTAAAATCCAAATCATTTTCCTATTATGACTACCAAATAAAATAATAAAAATAATAATTTTTAAATAATAAATATATATACACATATATATTATATAGTATATATATATATTCCTTCTATAAATAATCATTAGTTAAATAAATCATATATACCTATATATATATATATATATATATATATATATATATATATATCCTTCCATAATTAATTATATTTATATACATATAATTATATATATAATTATGCAAAGATAATTATTTAAATATCTTCATAACCATGTGCCTTTATTAATTAACTCAAGAAGGCTTCATTCAAGCTTAAGACTACATCCATTGGTCCCACTACTCTTAAGCCCAAACCAATTAACTTAAATAAATAAAATAATTAAATTAAACCTATTAAATACAAATAATTCACAATAAAATCACACAAGCTTAAATGCACACAAATCAAAGAAACAATTCAATCATAGCATTCCACAAAACAAACACCATATTAATTCAACAAATATAATTATGAAATATAATTTAATTAAAATAAGACAATTAATCTACGCACTTAATTAAATAAAACGAAATAAAAACAAATAATTCCAGTCAAATCAAACAAATCATTTTTAATAAAATAAAAGTAATGAATCTCAATAAATAATTCCTTTAAAATATAGGGGTATTACATTGAGCCACATCCTTCTCTTTTACATGCTTCATTTTATTATAATCTCTCATTTGGGGATATAGTATGAATCTCTGATTGCGAAAGTTTGAGGATTGATATCCTTCATAGTAATAAGAGTGATTTTTACTACGACTATATTCATTATTGTGGTAGTTTTTTTTACCACGGCCATTCATTGTTATAGTCATTTCTACTACCACGATCATGTCTATTACCACATCCACAAGATGAGGCAACATACGTTTCGGGGATCTGTGTCGATAGGACGAGACTAGTGGTTTCTTAACAAAAGCTCGTTATTTTGCTCAGCCACAAGTAAACATGATATTAGTTTTGAATATTTTTTAAATCTACGCTCTCGATATTATTGTTGTAAGAGTACATTCGAGACGTGAAATGTGATATATATTTTTTCCAACATAAATTCATCAGTGATGGTATCACCACACAATTTTAATGTAGAGCTGATTTTAAATAGGACAGAGTTGTATTCAAGCACAGTTTTAAAATCTTGCAACCGCAGTTGCTGCCAATCAGCCCAAGCTGTTGGGAGGACAACTGTTTTTTTATCATCATATCTTTCTTTCAAATTTTTTCACAAACTCGGTGGATCTCTTTCAGTGAGGTATTCAGTTTTTAGCTCTTCACTAATATGGCGACGAAAGAAAATCATGGCATTCGCTTTATCTTGTAATGATGCATTATTTTCTTCTTTAATTGTGTTTCCAAGACCCATGGCAACTAAATGGATCTGAACATTCAGAATCAAAGATAAATAATTTTTGCCAAAAATGTCTAAGGTTACGAATTCCAGCTTTGTCAAGTTTTACATTTTCAAAATAACTAGATGTAACAACAGTATAAGAATACAATTTAACATGATATAAAAATAAACATTATTTTAGTAATAAAATGGCATTAAGTGAAACAACAACATAACATGAACTATTATAATTCCAGTATAATTAAACAACAAAGGCGATAAAACCAGTCATAGTGAATTATTAAACATTAAAGGTGGTAAAACCGGCCATAAATCATTAAATAATAAAGGCGATAAAATCGACCATAATTAGTGGATAGTAAAGACGGTAGAATCGACAATAATTAGTAGATCATTAAATAATAAAGGCGGTAGAACCGACCATAGTACGAACACATACATCACTTAAGTAAAAAAATTAATTTATGAACAATAATTAATAATTAAGATTTTCTTGCCCTTAATTGGAGTCAAAAATATAATTTTCTTCAGTAAAGTAAACAAATTCAACAATTTATCAAAATTAATATCACAAAATATATAGAATTATAATAGAAAGAAGGAGAAAAAACTTCTTGTTCAAATCTTATATGATTAGAGCTCGTACCGCTAATGTTTCATAATTATATTAATATATCAGATAAATGATTCTCAAAGAAAAATAAAAGAAGTAATGATTGAGAAAAGAACTAAAGAAGTTTTATTGCTCCGTTTTTTATATCTATAAAATTCGTTCAGCAAACACACATTTATACTGTCGCAGGTCAAGACTAAACATTTGTACAAAGCCTTTACTTGCTCCACAAGTCCAATCTCGTGCTCCCCACTTTGCCTCACCTCCAAGACTGATAGCTTATGCCACAATATTGAATGGGTGGATCCCCCCACTCACATTCACTAAAAAAAAATAAAAAATAAAAAAATAAAAAGGTGTTTTTTCGACTTTATCATAACTTATTTTTATTTGTTGATGTGGGTGGGCGTCCGATTATTTTTAAGTGGGACCCACACTAAAGTTATGCAATTATTAAAGGTATACATAACATCGTGCGTGTCACATCCGCTTCATTGTCACTTTTACTTTTGTATTTTTAACTAGACAGACTACAGTTTTTTTATTTATTTATTATTTTTGGTCCTCCCTTAACATTTGTTTTTTAACTTGGCTATCATCTTACATCTGATTATGAAAATATAGTCATATTTTGTTTTTAATTTTTAAATGTGATTTTTAATATGAGATATGTGTAAATAAAAAAATTGGAGGTTTAATATCCACGTCGCTATGCCCTAGCCCTGGGACGTTGTGTTCGGGCTAATCTACTTATCTAGGGAGCATAGAGGAACGTCCGGATATAAACTGTAATGGATAAATGCTTATTTATTTACTCAAACTTAAGTGCTAAGTATTGTTGCATATCCAATCATTTATACACCTTTCAATATTCATTCAGATCGAATGTGGGATAAGTCTCACTTGTAACACTTAAATAGTTAATGATATATGCTACAAGTATTATTCTAATTTCTTTTGAAATGAAATATATTAAAATCTTAAATAATTTTTGCATTAATTTAAGTTTTATACCAATAATCAATATTTTTTCCTCTTTGCTTTTTCTTTAATCGGCAGACATGGACTGCTTTTCAAAAGTTCTCCTCGTCACATGAAAATCCACATTTGCCATTTCTATTGTGCCATTTTCTTCCAATCTTCCTGGGCTTACTTGTCTTTTTAAATTGGTTCTCTTTTACATCTGAATTTGGATCTGTCTTAAATCTGACTTTGCATCTCTCTTCTTTTGTGAATTTCCTTGCAAGCATTCACTTTTCTTTATCTTTTTCTTTTAGGTACTTGTTTCTCACTCAGAAAATGGAACTCGAACTTGGTGTGTTGATACTGGATTTGAAACACGTTAGTAGCACCATCCAACAAAATCTGTAAGCTAAAGGTAAATCTTTTGCCTTCCTTTTATGTTTGCTTCTAATCTTTCTGTGAACTCAAACCTCTCTATCTTTACCATTGCTTTCTTAATTTGAAAAAAAAAATTTGCAGTCATTTGCATGTTTTGTAAATATTTTCTATTGTTTGCTTATAAAAAAGAAGGAAAAAAAAAAAAAAAAAAAAAAACTTTTGTACTGCATCATCTCCTTCAATTTCTTTTCCCTTTCTTTTACATTTGCTTCTAATCGATCTCTCTCTTGAAGTAATCTTCTAACTTTTGAATTTGGCACTCTCTGTGTTATTGTTTCCGTGATTATTGTATAGCCGTTGTTGATCATTAGCCTATGTATATTTCCATTTGTATATGATTTATTCATACTTCAATATACAGAACATATATTGTATATCTCTGTCTTTCTTTTATGTTTAACATGGTATCAGAGCCATTAATCTCTGATTCTTTATCACAAATTTACACCATCAATTATTATTGTCTTTTTTAATCTTTATAAATGTGAGTCACGATTTTCAAAACAGGACAATTATATATATATATATATATATATATATATATTTTCCTTTGAAATTGAGACTCACCTAATCTGAACCACCACCACATAAATCAGCCGCTGTAACCACCACATAATGTTTGGTATATGATTCCCAAACATTAACATTCTGCTTGCAGGGCTCTTCCATGGCACATAATCCCTTCAACATTCTTTTCGACCAGCAGAAGTTAGCAGGGGAGGACTTTGGCTCTTCCATGGGACATAATCTCCTCAACATTCATCTCGACCAGCAGAAGTTAGAAGACGAGGACTTTGGCTCTTCCACGGGACATAATCTCCTCAACCTTCATTTCGACCAGCAGGAGTTAGCAGGGGAGGACTGGGCACTTCAAGCTACTATTGCCGAGAGTCTAGCCACTAAAGATGGCAAGGTTGATCACTTTTCTATACTTTCCTTTCACTTGTTTTTCATTTAAAATCACACTTGGGGTGTGGGTTGAATTTTAGTTTTTTTCTTCTTGTACTGCATCATATCATTTAAAAATAATAATAATAATATAAACAAGAAAAAAAGGTTGATAGCTAGTGAATTAAAAATGGATTATGTGATACTATTGTGGGAAAAATGTAGCCAATGATAGAGCTTTTGTTCAAAGAAATAAAACTGGTATTGTTATTTTCCTTTTCCATATTTTCCATAGAAGTGCATGTTGGAAAGTATACGATTCCCAAACATTAACATTCTGTTTGTAGGGCTTTTCTAATCTCCTCAACGTTCATCTGGACCAGCAGGTTGTAGCAGAGGAGGACTTGGTACTTCAAGCTATTGCCGAGAGTCTAGCTGCTAAAGATGGCAAGGATTCGCCAACTCCTTCCCTTCCAGAGGCAAGTGCGCGCTTACAACTTTATGACTTGCCTCCTTTCACATTTCTTGTTTGACTTCTCACACACAAGTTCTTCTCAGGTGACCCCTTCCATTTCAACTACAACCTCTTTCATGGTGAAAGGAAGGGCACTTCCAGCTTTAGAAAATCTTTACAAGGCGATCAATGCCTCCAAGTCCTCTACCACTTCTACCTCTAGTGCGAGTGTGCCAGTGATTCCATGTCATTCTGAAGATGATGCAGTAAAGGTCGCCAAAGAGCAGTTGTTGCTGTACCTTTCTAAAGATGTTGAAGAGGTATTGACCTTTCACCATAAATTGACCCTCATTTTAACTACTCTCAAGAAGTGTCCAGATTTTTCTGAGGGCATCAGGGCATCATTGAACAAACTACAGCACCATCTCCAATCCATTGCTACCAATGTCAGATCTTGCACCTCTTCCATTGTTGAGTATGATGAGAAAGTTGAAATTAGTAAGAAAGCCTTTGAAGATTTTCAACTAAGTCTGGATCCTTATCCAGAGATCAGAGAACAGGCTGACAAGTTAGCTACTCAGCGAGAGGCGTTGACAACTGAACTGAATAGGATTCAAAAGGAACTGGAGCAGGTTGAACAAGAAGAAGTTGAACTGGAAAAGGTAGCAAATGCAATCCTCACCGAGTCTGAACCCTTCAAGAAGAAATGGGAAAGCTTATCTAGTGAACTTCCTCAGCTTGAAGATGCGAAGGTCAAAGCTGTGGACTCGCTTGAAGAGTCTAGGCAAGTTTGGGTTGGGTTTAAGGACAGACTCTCTTCCATCTGAACTTCCTCAGCTTGAAGATGCGAAGGTCAAAGCTGTGGTTTCTTTGTGTGGTTGGCATTCTGTTTTTGTTTGTGGATTAAAGTTTTCTTTGGAAAGTAGTGGGTATGAAAGTGTGGGTATGGTGTTGAAGGTGTTGAATGATTAGGATATGAATAATGCTCAGACTTTGAATCTACAACTGTGAACTTTGTAGAATTTCTTTTGTGGAATGTAGTGAAGTTCACATGAATGAAAATGCCATGTTTCTGTTTTCAACCTGACTTGCAGTTTGCACACTTTGAAAAGTAAACTACAACTGAGTAAAGAAAATGCATGTACACGCAAGATAGAAATGTTCCAAGTATAGGATGAAATTGACCTGGCCCATGTAACATGAATCTGGCCTACTTTTCAATATTGCATATCCACAATAATAAAAATCAACAGAATTTGGAATTGTTTCCATGTTAACATGAATCTAGCTAGAGTACCTCTGGCAAAGTATTTACCCTTTCCGGACTTCAGGTTTGTGTTGATGGACTTAAGGTTTGTGAAATCAACACGTAGCAAAATTTCAAAAGGTTTGTGAAATTAACACAATCCTTCTCAATAGATGTCGCGCTCCCGCTCTTACATTTGCTCAAATTCTCTCCGTTTATGACTTAATTATGCCACTCTCATACTCTCGCTCTCAAATTCGCTTTCGCTCCCACTTCCGCTTTATGTGACTTAGAGTATGGTCTGTGAATCGGTCATATAAATGTAAGCTCTGTCCACCTTTTCAACTTCCACTTCCAATTAGGTTTCTTTGACTACCATATTAAATTGAAAAAGACAAAGGTTAACTTAATTTGATCAAATAGTAATAATATTTATTTATTTATTTATTTAATAATAGGGATAAAAATATGATAGTGATTTACCTATAAAGATATATATATGTGTATGTATATAATAGTATGGGCTTTAATTGAGGTTTTTTTTTTCAATTATTATTATTTTTTTGCGCTAATTTATGTTATAAAAACTAAGAATAGTAGAATTGTGAAAGTAAATGTATAATTAATCTCACAAATTTGAAAAACAGTTTTTATTTTATTTTTTTAAATTTTTTTTTATTTTTTTCAATTTTAAGCATATAAAGGTCATTAGAGTTCCCATTTCAATTCATCAAGCCTAATATCATTACTCCATTGGATAATTAGATCATGTTTAGTAATTTTTTTACTTTGTATTTTTTAAACACCTTTCCGTGGTATGTTTCTCCAGTTAAATATGATGCTTTAATTTTACATGTTTATGTATGAATTATGAGAAGTCAGGTAAGAATTTCTTTTGAGTGTTGTAATTTGTTGAATCCCAATCAATAACTATATTTGTTGATATAGTAGTTTGGACTTTTTGGTAATTTTATTTTAGAAAAATATAAGAGTGGATCCCCTAAAGACAATAGTGGAGCGTCGTTACCAACTCCATTATTTAGTATTTATATTATGGTTTGATTGGTGATTTTGGTCCATTGCTAAGATTATTTTAGTAACTCTGGTGTATATGAAGGATAGTTTTGGACATTTGGTATTCTGATTATATTATTTTTCATGACTTTAACTGAAAATCAAGAGAAAAATCAACTAAACTCAAAGGAGGTTCACTAATAAATTTTAAAAACATTTAATTAGAACGAAATAATGTCACACCAACATGAACTTATGAATTATGCATTGGAGTTTAACGAAATTAAGTTATATGCAACGCGCGCATAGAAACACCCAAAAACTTTGACAATTTGAGTAACTAATTAATATTATGAGAATTAGTGAACTCAAAACTTCACTTTTTTTTGTAACTAGTCAGATAGATCTCTCTTTAATTGACTATTGTATGAACACAGAATATTTATCACACTTGAACCAAAGTTTATACTCCGTAATTGAAATCTCTCTGAGTGGGATCTGTGGACTATATTCTTTTGATATCTTAGAACCCATAACTCCATAAAAACAACTCTATACTTTCTCGGTCCCATAATAATTGTCTACATTGAGAATTGTGACTTGCATATTTTTGTAAGTCACAGTTCTAATACAAATAATAATTATGGGATGGAAGGAGTAGTTCACAATTGATTGTTTTTTTTTTTTTTTTGGAGTACAAATTCAGGAACTTTTCGTTCCTTACTCGTTGAGTCAAATTCTCATTAGTACGAGTCAAAAAAATAGCCCCCGACCTTTGATTTTATTCCATATTAAAAGACACCACGAACGTAAATATTCTTTTTAACTTTTATTAAATATCTTTTATAAGGAATCAAAAGAAGATGCGATAATTTTTTTCAAAAAGTCTTCAATAAAAATTACATAATATTTCTTCTTTTTTATCGAATCGATTATAACCACTGCCTACGTTCTACGAAATTGTGGATCACAAATAGTAGCTAGTAAAGAGACCCGCAATCCCATAAGACATGATTAGTAAAGAAGGTATAGGCGACCTTTTTGACATTGGGATTCGGGGGCAAGTAATGAAGGTACCTGATATCTATCCACAGAAGATCCGAATCTCTTCGGACCCAAGCTCACCTGACCCGACTCCTTCACCTCAGGCCATGAATTACATGTTTGTCGTTTGTTCACCATTATTTTCGTTCCATTGGTTATAAAGTTTTTGTTTTTTGTTCATCATTTAATTTGGGTAATCTTAAAGTCAATAAAAAAAAGTAAATAAATAAATTTATTTGGTAACATTAGATTGCTTTTAACCCCAGCCTTTTATTTTTCAAAGAATAAAAATGATAGAATTGACGATTTATTCAACTGGATTTTAAAATCAACTTAAAAATCTTTCATGATTAGGCACGTAACCAATTTAAGCACGTTAGTGGATTTTTTTTTTTTTTCCTTCGTAACCTGCTAATATAAATCCATCATACTTTTTTTTTTCTTTTTTAAAAATTATTAATTTCAGGTTACATTGCTGTATGTGCACGAGGTAACTGTACATAAATTCATAATTGCAATATCAATTGTTAACTTGCTAAGCTTACCTTTTAATTCCAAAAAAAATTGTTAACCTTTTTTTCGGAAAAAAATAAAAATAAAAATAAAAATTAAAAATTGTTAACTTGCTAGCATGTGGATCCCACTTTGTTACATTCCATGGTTGGAATGCATTTAGCCCAAAATTTGGGTTGAAATGGTGGGACTGTTTTTTTTTTTTTTTTCCTCGCAATAGAATCACCTAGGCCGTCTACAAGAAACAGAACAACTACACACAAATCACAACCAAAGCAAATAAACTGAACAACCCAAAAACAAAACAACCACAAGACCTGCAAAAAGAAAACGTCCTACAAGAAACATTGCCTAGCCGATGGAGCATACACAGTGTAACACAGGTATGATGAGTCACAGGGAACAAGACTGGGTTTAAAATGTGAGCTAACTGATCATTAGGCCCATTTGACAACCCCACCAGCCCATCCAGGTATCGGACATCAACAATAAAAGCCAAACAGAAGGAACCGAACGCACGAGAACATATTGGAGATGCACCCTTCCCACGCACCATCATTACACTCTGTGACAAGTGGGCCCCAAACTAACACCACACAGTACACTTCGAAAACCGAGGACGACCTAGCGGCACACATCGCTGGATCGGAGTAGACTGAGAAGACACCAGCATGCAACCATGTGCAATAACATAGTGGCCCAATAGAGACTTAAAGCCCACAGGATCATTGACAGGGATTGAACGTAAGGCCCAGCCAAACAAGCCCATGTAAAAGGAGGCAATAGAAATGGTGACAGTAGAAATGGTGGGACTGTATAGGACAGTTCTTTTTTCTTTGATAACAATGTGTAATAACAATTGAATGGTAATAGTTAATAAGGTTAAATGCAAAAAAAAACCTTCCTAAATTATTGGCATGTTGTAACACATCCCTTAACTACAAAAAAATTAAGAACAATCCAGCAAGTGAGCTGGTCGAAAAAATAAAAATACCCATTTACCTTTACTAAAACTATGTAGTTTTGGAGTCTTTGAGTTGCGTGTGTAGACAAAAGGTGCATAAGGGTGTGCAATGGCACAATAAGGGGAATTAAAGTCTTTTCTTGCTTTTAAGGGTATTATAATTATTAAATTAAATATTGAGGGTCATGTGACAGTCACGTGATCGCTTTACGGCAAGTTTGGAATGGAAGTTTGCCGAAAGGGACAATCTGTAACAAAAATGTATAGTTCAAGGATTAGTTGTAACTTTAATAGTTTAGGGGGTTAATTGATGATTCCTCCATAGTTTAGAAAGTTTTTTTTTTTTCATTTTACCCTAGTTAATATATGATTAACATTCGAGGAATATTATAAAAGTAACACTATTATTAATTGTTTAATATTTCTATTACGGTTTGATTGGTGATCTTGTTTGATTATTTTAGTAATTCTAGTTCGTCTGAGGATAATTTTGGACCTTTGGTATTCTGAATCTCTGATAATATTATTTTAAAATTTTTAATTGGAACGAAATTAAGTATTTTACAATTATGCAATAGAGTCTAACAATGTTTTATGACGTTTGGGTGAATTTTGAATGAGTTGGGTTTGAATGGCGGGTCATAAATGGGTAAGGACTCATATGGACGGGTTAGAAATGGGTCAAACCCATTCCAACATGTTAGCAAAATTTAAAATGACAAAGGAAGTTTCAATTTTATTTATTTATTTTTTTTATCGTCAAACAAAGTTTCTTTGACTACCATATTAAATTGAAAAAGACAAGATTAATTTAATTTGATAAAATAGTAATACTATTTATTTATATAATAATAATAGGGATAAAAATATGATAGTGATTTACCTATAAAGATATATATATGTGTTATATATATATATATATATATATATATATATATATATAATTTTTTGAGCTAATTGATGTTATAAAAACTAAGAATAGTAGAATGGTGAAAGTAAATCTATAATTAATCTCACAAATTTGACAAACAGTTTTTTTATTTATAAAAAAATATTTTTATTTTTTTTCAATTTTAAGCGTATAAAAGTCATTAGAGTTCCCAGTTCATGTCATCAAGCCTAAAATAGTAATATCTTTACTCCATTGGATAATTAGATCATGTTTGCTAGGTTTTTTTTCTTTGTATTATTTTTTTAACACATTTCCAGTGGTATATTTCTCCAGTTAAATATGATGCTTTAATTTTAGATGGTTATGTATGAATTATGGCTCCGAAGAAGTCATGTAAGAATTTCTTTTT